CAAGTCCATTAGCATGCATTACTTGGACTACTTGAATGATTTGGCATCATTTATTATGTGATTTCAGTCCATGTTCCATGATCATGCACTTACATCTTTCACTTACTCAATGCGTTGGAGGGTTTCCCCCTTTATGCCTTAATATGAATCATTGTGTATGCCTTCATGCCTTAGCTTGCGAACCATCATTTCAGTGCTTATTTGAGGTTATTTTGCAATGGTATAACTCTGATTTTTGTTGGTTAATTCATTCCATGCTTGGTCTTAATAGGTGCAGTGTAATCCACCTTATTTGCCTTGTATGCATCATGCCTTATGCCCTTCATACTAGCACATTTTGGCTTCCTTTCATGCATGTTTTAGACTCATTTTGACATATTTTAGGGCGTTTATGGGTTGCCTTTGCCAAATGCTTCATGCTTTGTATAGCTATAGTGCAATTGGCCTTGCTAGCTTTGTGTTTTGTTGACTCATGCATGCTATCTTTAAGCTATTTAGATGATTTGGCATCATTTAATACTTCATTTCAAAGCTTATAGCATGACTATATTCCCACTTATTTCATGTTTTAAATGCCTTTGAGTGTTGCGCATTGTTGCCTAGCTTGTGGCCTAGCATGTATGCCATCTTGCCTAGGTATTTGTGCCTCCATCTTAGCATGTTATGGTCTTTGTTTAGACCTATTTCAACTCTGTCCATCCCTGGTTCATGCATATTTGCCACGTATTGCATGCCTCCTTTGCAGTCCTCTTTATTAGCCTTCATGCTTTAGGACCTTGGCATGCTACACTTGTGTTTGTTTGAATGATTTGGCATCGTTTCTTACTTAATTTCAGTGCATTTAGTGTTGTTACACTTCTGCATTTATCACTCCTTGAACACTCTTGAGAGTTGTGCTCTTAGGCCTCCTGGGTTGGCCAATGCATTGTGCATGCATGCTTTATGTTTTATGCCTTTATTTTATCACCAATGGCCACTGATTTGGGGCATGGCTAAGGCCTATCCATTTTGGTTTAAGTCCAATGTGCATTGTGTATGCCATGTAGTTCACAGCATTGAGTATGCCATGTTGTTTGCATGATTAATTCAGCGTTGAGTATGCCATCATTTGCATTGTGTATGCTAGTTGTGTATGTCATCAGCTTTGTTAAGTTAATCATATTACATTGCATTGCTTAAGTCATATTGCGTGTTTGCCATGTTTGTGTTGCATTGTTGTTTGGATTAAGTATTAATCCAAGCACGAGAAACGAGGGACGTTTCATACTTGAAGTGATGAAACGTGTCTCAATTCTCGATCGCCGACGCTCATGATCATACATGATAGAGAGTTCTAGGCATTTATGTGTTTTTGTGCATTCATTTTACATTGAAATTTGCACCAGTTGGATCTTTGGCCATCATGCATCGAGATGCATGATTGATGGTCTTGGATCCGATCATGCCTCTCCCTTGATGTTTTGAGGTGATATGGGGTGGCATAGTGCGTACATACCCTTGGAGACCCTCCCTTTCCTCTATTTTGTGCTTTGCTGCAGCTTGGTGTCACAGCACACCAGTGGCCGGCAGCTTCTCGTTGTTGGCCGGCACCACCTCATTCTTGGCCGGCAGTGTACCATCTTTGGCCGGCAGGGTGGTCGGCAGCAGGTTCTCATGGCCGGCAGGCCACTGGTGCATTCCTCAGCCTGGTTTTGGTAAGATCCAACAGCACGTTCTCAAGGACACCCTGCAGATGGAGCCTCTAGAGAGCATTTGGAGAGCTTTCGGGACAAGAACCAAGCATGCATCTTCAACTTCTTCAAGGCAGAGCTGAGGCAGCCTAGTTTACATATTTTAATGCTTACTTGTTAGTTAGTATTCAAATTTGTAATTAATTAATTAATTTGTCAATTAATTAAGTGTTGTAATAATTAGTAAGTAGATTGCTTATTATTCAATTTGGTTATGTAATAATTAATTAGCTTGTTAGTTAGTTAACTAGTTGGTTTATATTATTCATTCGGACCCCCCGTCGAGAGGGCGGATTTTGTAATAAGTGTGCGTGCGTGTGTGCATGTCTTCCAATCCCCATTTCTTTCTCCCTTTTACTTACCCGCTTTTGATGGTTAGTTTTAGGGCATGTTTCAATTAGCATCCTTATGCTTCGGATGCGTGCATTCATTTATTTGTCTTGCATGCACTAGGCTCGGCGAATGATACTAATTGCATCGTGTTTCAATCCCTACTTGAATACATGATTATCAAGTCGCATCTTATATGCCATTTTAGAATAGCCGAGCCTATTTCTAGTTGCATTTTGCATGTGTTGCATTAGCCATATTAACATGAACTGGGATCATGCATTGATTTCTAACTAGTTCTCTGTTTTGGCTCGGAGTACACTGTGAGTGTTTACGCTTTAGCATACTGCATGTTTGTTTTTGATTGCCATGAAAGCATGCTTTCCATGAGGCTAACTGCTTATCTGATATAACTGCCTGAATGCCTATGGGTGAAGGTTGGATTGCTTGAATTGGAACAATTCATTGAAATCCCTGATTTAGCCTACTTGCGAGTAGCACTTTCAAACCATTTTCACAAACGAACATGCAATGTTTTGTTCCAAATTAGGTGATCTAGTCTATACTTGTATGCTGTGCGCATCACGTAGTAAGATTAGCTAATTAACCGGAATAAGAACACATGTGTTTTCAAAAACAAGATATCATGGTTAGTACAGGCCGATCTTTGATCGGGCGAGCGGGGGTGCTCATTGCATGACCTTCCCCTCTCGTACCCAAGTTCCCGAGTCGAGGCAACTTTGGTGATGATGGACACGTGGTCTTAGGCACGAGTCAGGGTTTCCTAAATTTCCCCAAGACAAAATATTTAGTTGGCGACTCTGTATCTGGCAAAGCAGTCCATGTTTGGCACTTCTTTATTAAAATCAGTTTCCAAAACGATTTGCCGGATTTGGACTCTTTGGTGATTTATTGGTCTCGCATTGCACTTTGCGAGATCAAATTCAGAACTGTGACATTTGAGTCCGAACTGTAGTAGTAAGCCCTGATTCGGGCGCGTCTACAGTTTCTGGCGACTCTGTTGGGGAGTTAGAGAACTTGACTCGAACTCATGATATCTTGTTTTGGCTACACTTATGTGTCTTTTTGCATTGCATTTGCATTGGTACGCCTAGGACACCGTGTTTTTTGTATGCTATTCCTGAATCGTTTGCCGGAGGCTTGCTTTGCAAAGCGTGCCATAAGGCTAACTGGTTGCGGGCTCTGCCACGACGGGAACACAAACCCTGGTTTTTACCGTGGCACCCTTTTTGACCATTCGACCTAGTGCATATCGGAAATTGTAGTGCCCAATCCAAGCTAGGACAGGTTGCTTACCCGTTTATAGGTTGTTTGAAACCGTTGTGTACGTAGTGAAACCCTAGTTCTTGGCGAAATTAGGACAGGGAAACCCTACCCCAACATAGGGGTGTTTTTGACTCGTATTTAGTTGCTATGTGCTTTTAGAGTGCGCCTTTATAGGAATGCATGTATCAATTTGAAAGTCAGGGTATCAGGCCTGAGGGCATCAGTATTCTGGGGATCAGTTTTACTTGAGGGTATCAGTTTACAGGCAAAATTTTGGGCAAAATTCAGTAAAGAGCACATTCATTCAGCTATGCTCATATCTATTCCAGTGAAATCAGGCTGAGATGGTGTCTGTTTTCTCTTTTGCAAGGTAGTCGTGGAACTATAGCTTCAGAAGGCTCCAATATCCCCTGGGTACAATGGACTTGTGTTGATAGACTTTGTCAGGTCAGAGATTCAGTTCAAGGGCAAATCAGTGTTTCTTCGCCAGAGGTAGGGTAAAAAGGCCAGTCAGGCACAGATCATCAGTTCAATAGTCTTCAGATCAACGGCCATTATCCATCTCACCTGTGTGTAGTTGGGTTGAGATATCTGCTTTTACCTCAGGGAGATACACCTGTTATTCAGCTAGATCAACACCTTATGACAGGCATGGAAGAGATGATGCATCAGCTCCAGGAAAGTATGCAAGCTATGCAGTAGGATGCTGCCCGTCAAGTAGATTTTGCCGCACGCCAGCCCGAGGTTATGGCCCAACAGGCAGAGTTAATAGCCAGGCTACAACAGCAAACAAAGTGTCTGTGTAGACACCCCATTTTTGACCGTCCTCAAGACTTGGATGTCACCGTTTGAACACTCGGTGATTATCCTTGTTTGTGTTTGTTTGGAGTTCCCGGAGGCCTCGGCTCGCGTGCCTTGCCTCAGGATCTCCGAACTCGACCGTTTAGTGTCTGGTTTTGCACCAAACACTTGCATCCTGCCTTGGAAGGGCAGAGTGGGGCTTGTAGACCATCCCCACCCATCACCGGCAGTGGCTAGATGCCACCGGCTGGTTTTTGCTGCCACCGGCAATATAGTTTGCCGACCGGCACTCTTTGTTGCCGGTCAGCACTATTTGTTGCCGACCGGCACTCTTTTTGGCCAAGATGGCATTTTTTGCCGGCCGATTGCTGTTCATCTGCTTTTGCAGATATTTTTAGACAGCTGTATTGCTTTTGCTCCCCTCCATACACGTGTACG